ACATTTATCAACATAATATGAATCTGCTTGATGTTTATTCCTCTTGAGTAATCTAAATTAATCTTTGGTTTTTTTTTTTTTTTAATTACAATTGAATACTGCAGTTAAACTATGGGCAAATTTGATTCTTTCAGTATTTCAAGTTTAAACCTAAAATGCTTCAGGTTTTTGCTGTTTATCTTGAGGCCCCTCTTAATTAAAATATTTTGTACTCCAGGGAATACTAAATGTGGCAGTTTATTGTAACACTTATTAACTGACAACTCCATCACCTACAATACATAGTGTTGAATTTTATTAGGTACATAGAGTAAAACATACATATGGCCTGATTTTCAGAGGTGCTGAGCACCCACAGCGCCTGTTGACTTTCATGGTAGCTGAAGCTGAGAACTGTGGGTGCTCTGCACTGCTGTAATCCAACCAGCATGGCCTACTTCTGCCCTGCCTTGTATTCTTTAACTTCCACTGAAGTCTGTTGGACATGGGGGTATTACATAATGTATGACAGGTCATTAAACACATTTATAATGTAGCTTTTACGTGAAGGTAGGAACCAGCTGCAGTGTATAGTTTCAGCCCTCTTTGCAAGAATATTTTGCATATTGATTTCTTTTCCATGTATACCTGAAAGCATAAATGATGTTTGTCTCCATTACTGGTTTAGACGGTTTTGAACATATACTAGCCATAAGAAGTACTAAACTGGATGTTGTTCTAAAAGCTAATCAGATAGAAAAATAAATAAAAAATAAGGAATAGTATTTTTATTCTCTTAAATACATTTTAAGGTTAATATTAGTCAGACCACCACCAAGAAGTCACACAGTTTGGGAGGACTTGCAGTATTATTGTTATACTATTAATGTGGGGGTGGTAAAGTCTTTAAATATTTCTGGTAGAGTAGTTAATACAGCATGGAAGTTTGATATTTGTACAGTTTGTAAAAGAATTTGAGGTGTTACCCTATTTTGACTTGAGTTTTCAAGTATGCACTGGTGCATCATTAATCATAGGAAATGCAAAAATAAATAATATAGTCCCTTTGGATTTTTCATGTGAATACTTACCTTTTCCTTTTTTTGTATATACAGTTGAGGTATTTAGGTAACCCCTAACCTTCTGCTTCAACAAGGAGGTACAGTATAAAAATATTACCACAGTCTTCATATGAGCAGTTCTCTCTAAGAAAACCTCTAGATGAATATTTATTGAAAAAAGCTAAGTTGCAATACAGAATGACTTAGCTCGGCCTCAGTACTATATTTTAGACCACCAGTGTATAAAATTAAAAGCACATGGATTTTGAATCACTAGAAAAGGTTTGTAATTGATTAGCGCTCTATGAAAGTATTGAAGTAGAGTAAGGTTTGATTTGTGAATGGTTCTATTCAATAAAGATTAATCCTGTATGCTTGATAAAATCTTAGTGCCTCTAATGAGTTAGGGTGTTTTTTTTCCTCCCTAGTTTATTTAACCATCAGATAATTCAGTGTTCTGTTAACAAACTGGAACATTTCTATCTTAGTGAATTTTACATCAGCAATGCTGATTGAACAATCCAAACGATCAGTGGTTAGTTCAAAGGCGGTAATTAAAGGAATAAATATATTTTGTTCTGTACAAACCATTTAAAAATACAGTGTAGTCATGTATATTTCATGTGTTTCATACGCTTACAAGCTGTAGTGGCAGAGATCCATTCTTAATGTGAATGAGAATAGTCATCTCTTAATGGTGTTTCATATTATACTTTATATTATGAGCACTTTGCTTTATATTTTAATACAAAGAAAAGTAATGATTAAAATTGGTTGAGTTCATATTTTTATGATTATGAAATCTAGAGGTGGGATTTATAGATGCTTTCTTCTTTTAGTCCACAGAAATATATAGCTTTCTGATTTCTGAATTTCTATATTTTGGATCCTCTTCTAAATTGTCTACTTTGATATAAATGCCAAATTAAATTTGTTACAAAGTGTTAGAGCAGCTCATAATCAGTTCTTGAAAGTTTTTTTTTTTTTAAAATAGTATACATGTCATTGAGTAGTATCTTGATATAAGTGGTACAACTTTTTGTTATAAGCCTGATAAGTTTCATATTCACTTACTATATCCATCTACCATGGTCAATTACAAAAAGTTAGATTAAAGTATTGGCCAAATTTTTGTCTGATTTAAACTCTGGGCAAATTCACTGAAGCCAAAAAGGATGCACAGAACATATATCAGTGCAGAATGTGGTTCCTGTTGTTTATAACTGATATGGTATGTATTTGAGAAGTACTACATGATCTGGAAGATCCTGTGTAAATCATGCCTACCGGATGTTTTTCAACAATTTGATGTTTATTGGTTGTTTATAATTTATTCTGAGCAATTTATTGTTGCTGTAGTTTAAACATAAGTACAAAAATATAACTGTCTTGGCAAACTCAAAATTAATAGGTTTAAATGTAAAAGAGTCAGAGTGTAAGTATACACAGGCAGAACACAGTCCAAACTTGGATTTAGCTCTCAGTGTACCTGTGCTGTACAAAAGTAGTATGAGCCCAGAACACAGTTTCTGGATAATTCAGAATTTATTAGATGAAGTAGGAACATATGCCTTTTGAAGTTGCAGAAGATCCCCTGCATCAGGTGAAATAAAAATTTGCAGAGATACTGCTAAACTTTATTGATAAACAGATCAGAAGTGTGTTGCACTCCACTTTCCTGGCCCTACCATCAGTCATCATTAGTTTCACAAGTCAGTTCTTAAGAAAAAAAATCATCATATTTAACAGGCCCAATAGGAATAAATTGTAGAACAGAATGGGAGGAGACTAAATGCAGGACCTGACTATAATGAAGATGATAGTTGAATTATGCATTCTGATACACAGCCATACCATTTTGTTAGTTTGGAAACAATGGATGAGTAACTTGGATCTTGTAGCTTCTATTCTTATTTTCTAAGGTTAAATATAAAGTTAGAGACATTCTACTTTTACTTTAGAAATTCATTGTAGTTTGCCTCAAAGGACACATGTACTTGTCCAACCTTACATACACATGCAGAATTTGGAAGCATGTTGCAACACTATTCAGTAGCTTAAAGAATGACCAAGAGTAGATGAATTAAGCAGTCACCACTGCATGTTATGATAATTTTAGCCAACAAAATTTCTCCTAATCTCTTTTGGAAGTAAAAGCAAAAGAAAGTCCCTATACATGTAAACTGTATTTCCTGTTGTAAACACTGGGATAATGTGGTCTGGCTACACTTTGGCTGTGCTTCATTAAGACAGCAGTTTTAGTAGAAATGCTGCCTATTTTTTGTGTCCATGTTTTACCTCAGTACTATGTGAAGTATACCTCAGCATGACCGTGTTCAGACAGCTAGTACTGAGAAGTAGCACTATGTAGTAGTATCAATGCCTTTGTATATCATAAATGAAAAAAAGTCACTCTATTCCTTAAGTAAGAACTTTCTTCATGTCTGATTGTGCTCACAGACTTACAGTACATTCATGTGCTTAACTACTAGCCAGTTGAAACGTGTGAAGTAGGAGGGGTAAAGGGAACTCCAACCATCAGCTAGTTACACCTAGATTAAGCTTATATTGTATGTGCTGAAAGCATTTCTAGCATCTTTTTTGTTCTTTAAAGTGTGGGGGGGGGAGGGGAGGTAAAGAGTTAGCTACAGCCCCAACATAGTTTCAGCATGATGGACAGCATTAAGAAAATCTTGTAAGTTTTCATATGCTTTTCTTGTGGTGGTCTTTCAGATAATTCAGATAGTTTTATTGACCTGTCTCAATAAATGTTTCAGTGAAAAAATATCTGATGATTGATCAAATATTAACACAGTTCGGCATTTTACTGTCATTCTTTCAACTAAAGCTCAGCTGCATTCTGAATTTTATAGAAATCAGAAAAAGTTATTCAGTCTCATTCAGTTTTATTTAATGGTCATTAATTTAATAGAGATTTAAAATGTATTTATATTGATTTTAAAAGCAGGTCAGGCAGGAAGGTTTAAAATTAAAGAGATGTTGGCAGTATCGCTTTACAGTGTATGTGTACTCTCTATATGGACATGTATGTAAATATACACATGTATAATTAATTATATGATTTCATGAAGACATTTTAAAACCTATTTACAGTTTTGAATATCCATGCTGATATTTGGCAACATTCTATTATACAGAGCTGCTATAAAAATGCTACTACATATCAAATTGAATTTCATCCACATTTTGCTTTATTTTCACAGATGAATAGTTTTTATGGAAAAACGATCTCAGTTAATTCATGACTCAAATGTAATTAGAAAAACTGTTTTTAAAGAGCAGATGCATTGTAATGCATGCTTTGCTGTGAAAGTGTGGAAACAAATGAACAGATTTTGGGGTTGGCTGTGGATTAGCACTGAATACTTTAGTGTATATATACTAAATGAATTTTCTTAGTTTATAAAACATCTAAGACAATGGTAGGGCAGTTATGTAGGAGAGGTTGCTAAGTCCTACATTTTATTAATTTTCTTCAGATACAGAGAACTAGCAGTGTTAAGTCAGTAGTTCATTTGTCTATTGCAAAGATGCTGGAGCTCTATAAAATGTCACATTTTCTTCCCAGGTTCTTCACCTGGCTGTCTTCTGTGATATTGTTGATTGTATTCATTTAATACTTTAATTTTAATAAGCTTTTTACCTTTTTCAGAGCAGTATCTTACTTTGCTAAATGTATGTAACTGGAAACATTGACTCACCTAGGTGACAGCACACCTGCTGTCAAACACTGGAGTATAGTATAGCGACTTTACTTTGCCTAGTTTGTCAGTTAACAAAGTAGTTCTTAAATCTGCATACGTTATTTATGGGAACCTCTTTTTTCATGACTATACCCAAGTATTGAACTTTAAACACAAAAAATACTATTTAACAGGTTTTTGTTTTGATGACAATCAATGACCATTCATAGAATTAAACAAACATTGTAATACTTACCCCAAAAGAAGTTTTGCTGACATGGTGTCACTGAGCTGAACAGACTGTTTGATGCCATAGTCCTTCTCTGTTTTCACACACAACTTGTATCTTCTGGTGCAAATACTGATTGAAGCTTTAAACTGAAAATACAAACCATACCCAAACCTAGTTTTAGTATTACAGTGTGCCTGGAGTGCATAAACTCTGGATTTGTTTTTTTCTGTCAAAAAATTGTGTAGCACCGATAATGTGAAAAGCAAGGAAACAAAACAAAAAGAGAATGAGCAAATATTTGAAGGACCTACTATTACTGCATATACTGTGGTTAGAGAGCACTTACTGACTTTGTTGGTCTCAGTGGCTGGTAGTGACCTGCGGAGATTAACCATTTAAAAACCAGAGGCTTCTTGCTATCCTCCTCGAGAAAGTTTGCACCGCACTTGTGGTTCTGTGGTTGTTTGTGAGGCGAATGAAGCATTCACATAATCCAAAAAAGCAAAAGCTTTAAAACTCCTTTTTTTTTGCAAGCACTGTTACTGGAGAGACAGAATCATGTGGTTTGTGACATCACAGTCCTCAAAGTAAAGTGGGACTGCCTACCACTGTGGCTTTTCTTTCTCTCTTTCTTTCTTTTTTTTTTTTAAATTTTATTTTGACAAAAGGCCTGTGGCAAGGCCCTTCCTGGCATCCAGAAGGATATAGCTTTTTAATTTTTGTGACTCATGAGGATTTGGAGAGAGTACAAAATGCTGAAAGAGCCCAAACTCCTGTACAGTTAAAGCATATGGACAGCAGAACTTTATTTGTACTCTCAGTGCAGGCTCCCCCCCCCCCTTTTTTTTTTCACCCCCTTTCGTTCTTTGTCTTGTTCATTATTGTGTCTGTGGAAAAGTAAGCAAAATTGGCGCAAGTGGCTGTGTGAAATTCTGAACAACAGTGCTGATTTACAATAATTTACGATTTGGATTGTATCACAATCTTGGGTCTGCTTCATATTTGCTGGGTGGCTGGATTCCTTCTGTTTTTCTTTTTCTTCTTGTCTTCCTATACTTGTGAATCTGTAACTCATTGTAAGAAACTTTACCTTTCCTAAGGTCTGGTAGCAGACTGCTTGTTGGGGCTGTGTTTTGTACTGTAATTGGCTGTCATAGAAGCGTTAGTCTGGGGATTCCTTTACAAATCTTAAATCATGTCTGTCTTGCTTATGTACCTTCAAGATTAGCTGGCAGCTTTATATAATGAAAATTAAGTGCAATTATATATCAGTCTTGGCTTTTTTGCCGAATCTGTCATTTGTATATTGTAACTACTTTGAGTACTGTATTATAAATTATGCTTTTTGAATAAAAATACTTTAACGATTTAATATAGAAGTTACCGAACAGTATGGATTGTACTGGTTGTGGAATTTTGATTGCTAACGTCAATTGCTTATTGTAATTCTAGTGTTTCAGAGAAACAGTATTGTCTTATACTTTTTGAGGGATACTGTTAATAGTTTTATTCAGCAGTTAATGTTAGTGCTTACTTTGAAAATGAAACATAATTTTGATGCATATGTAAGGCTTAAACACTTAACATATGCATATATATTATCTATTTTTATATACTTAACAGATTATAACTTTAACTTTGTGTAATAAAAGCTTTTACTATATCAGGACACTGTGTTAACAAAAACAATATTTTTTGTTTATAATAGAAGCTTTGAAATAAATTGCAAAATGCTGTGTGTAGTAGGGAATAATGTGTTCAGTAGTCTTGATTTGCTCACTCAGATTCAGAAGAAAATTGGAAACATCTTTAAGAAACTATCTTATTTTTGCCCCCTCTGGACATGTATTTTTGTAGAACTCATTTTCTTGTTAGTATGATTGTATAGTATAAGCACTGTATTTTATAATTCCATTTTTTTTTTGGTTGGGGGAGGCAGAAGAATGGCAGAAAAGAAATACAGACCTAAAATTTTCTAAGCATTTTTTCATCATTTATTTGTAAAACTCCTCATAAGCATGTCTCTGGCAGTTGGCTTCCCTCACTCCTTTTCCCCTTTATCTCTTCCCCTGCTTCTGCAAGAAGCAATTGACTAGAAGTGGTGTGAAACTAATCAGTTGAAGGGTGGGTGGAGATCAGGTTCTCCCTATTTTGTGTGGTTCGATGGAGTGGGGAGAGAGGAGATGGGAAAGGAGTATTTCAGTAAAACTTTTCTTTGGCAGATACTTATCAGAGAAACATAAAACCAATCCTGTTTCTGAACATCTCAGCATAATGTGTATTGGAATGTAAACTATATTGTCTTCAATTCAACACTTTCCCTGTTCTATAGAGGTTACCAAATTTCTAGGACTGTTCCTTAAAATGAGAGCCTACTAGGCAGTGAATAAACTGATATATGTAGAACTTAAAAAAAAAAAAACCACAACCAAAACCAACCCAACCAAACAAAAAACCCACCTGTTCCTTTAAAGGTGGGTTTCTTGTATCCCTAAATATTTTCATTGTATGATAGTGCCATCACTGAGAGAGCAGTTAAAGGCATAAAAATGATGAAATAGAGCACTAATTCTGTTATATAAAGAAAGCACATGTGTGAATTAGAAGTCTAATCAACTTTTAGTGTAATAAAAGCATTTGGAGGTTTTTGTCCCTATAATTTGTGGAATTTCAAATTGTAAGTACAGATATCTCAGCAAATACGTTTACACATTGAAAAAGTATCAGATATTGTATTATGGTAAGTATATTCAGTTCTTATAGATAACTTTACTGTTGGAGGCAAACTCTTATATTGTCCCATATTTAAGCCCAATCTTTATAATTCTAAAAGACAGAAGCCCCAACATTCATTACTATTCATTTCTTTAATAACTGAAAATTGTACTCACCACAGAGAACTGGATCTCTGAACTCGGTACATTGAAATAAAACTGATCCAAGATGAATTTTCTTGATTGCCTGGACTTGCATTGCTTCAATATATTCCACCAACTTTCCCTTTCAGGACGTACGTAAATGAGATGGTCTTTTGAGCAGCGACAGGCTACTTTATTAATCTCTGATATCAAGATTAAGATCACTACAATAAATTCTCCCTTTGGCAGGGTGAAGATCATCGAACTGTAGAAACACATTGATACCAAAGTGGGATTGAAGTGTAGTTTTAGGCATTTTCTATATTCATTTAGAATTTAAATTTATTTTCTCACTGTTAGAAATGTTTCCTTGTTATTTTAGTAATCTTTTTAATTATGAGAGATTTTCTGAAGCAAAAACATGTACAGATATAATACCTACCAACTTGTTTCTTCAAAAATAGCTTAGACTTTTACTGTGATGAAGAAAATATATTAATTCTGAAAAGTCACTGTGTAAACAAGTCTCTTGATTGCAGGCTTATACTTAAGACTTTTGTTTAAAAGACAGGACTATAGAAAGCAAAGTTAACTTAAAAATTCTATAGAGGTTACTTTAAGCCACTGATATAATTACACTTATAAGTATCAGGCTAAAGAATTTGCTCTGTAAATTATGGACTTGTTCTTTGATGACAAATTAAGTCTCATTTTGAAATTAAAATCAATTTCAACACAAAACTTATGCCACCATATCCTTTATCTTTTAGGAAATTTGTTTTGAAAACCTGTAAGCCTTGCTTTATATTTCCAAACATTTTCCTTTTTGTGACTCATACTTTATATAGCATATAAACTATAGGATACACTGTAGAGAGTATATTGGTACTTTAAAAGTTTGTTTTTATGTTATGTTCAACTTGTTATGAGAGAAGAATCTCCCACCTATTTTTTTTAAAAGGAATAGATTATTCCTTATCTTTTATGTCTCCCAGAAGTATAAGACAGACTTCTATAATGTGGCATATCCTTATGCTACTTCTTCAGATGCGTCAAACCCACAGATATTGCTGCTTTAGGTCTATCTCAAACAGTGCTGCATTTTCCTGTTTCTGACGGCATGAAGCCACTCTGCTTGGCATCTACATTTCACAAATCCATAGAGAAATCATTCTCATTTTGATTATAGCTTTCTCAGTGGTGCTGCATTTTACTTTATTTAGTGTTTTATTCCTGTGTAAATGTGTAATTACAGTATTTACACATTTTGTAAAAACTTCATTGTATAGACTAGTGTATATTTGGATTTTAAACTTCCAACATTGTTCCAGTTGCCTGAAGTAGATTCAGTATCACGTATGTTAACCTATTATAACAGACCTCGCCTTCTATTTAGCAGAAGAATAGTATTAAATAAAAATACTTCTTTATGCCAACTTATATTTCTTTTCATAGACATTGTTGCTAAAATACTGTCGGGGTATTGAACAAATAAATGCCTAATTTTTTATGATTACCTTTCTGTATATACATTGTCAACCCCCCATTTTCTCCTGAGTATTATTTTAACTATAAATGGTATGAAGCTGATTGTCTGTGGTTCTGTGTGAAAAATTATATCTTTTCTTCTGTTGTAAGCAAATACTGGTTGTCTGATTTCTTCTCTTTGGACTCTTACTGTTAAAGGTCTGTTTAAACCTAAAACAGAAATCCTTGCTATAGATTGAGATGAGAGTAATTCTCTGTTAATCAATGATTAATTTACTAGTAATTAACATAATTGTTTCATATTGCCTTGGATTATTAACCCTCATTTGTCATTATGCAGAAAAAAAATTACATAATGCCCATTTCAACAACAATAATGGAAAAACTCTGTCCGCTATCCAGGCCTTGAACAAGCTTCTGCATTTTAGAAGCCAAATATATCTTATTGACTGCTGCTTTTGTACATTATTGCGCAATTATTTTTCTGATTATCATTGGTGTTCCTCTGTTTTCCATATATTTATTTCTTAGTCTGTACAGCAAGCAAGAATTCCGTTCTAGTTAAATATAGTCCAGTAAGCAACCAATAGTTGCTGTTTAAAAACATTATAATCTTTTTGTATTTTCTCCAGTCTGTTTTCTTTTAAAAAAAAAAAAAAAAAAAAAAAAAAAAAACAACTTGCAGAAAATATGGGAAACTTGTCTCATATAACAGCTGAGGATGTGGCTAGGTTAAGGCAGGAAACTGCTACCCACAATGCAATGTTACATACACTACCACTTAATAAAATTTATTTCAAACATGCTACTGACAAAACCAAAGAAAAATAATATCCTAACTATGCTAGTTAGTACACTAAATATATCTAGGGAAAAGTGAAAGTAATCTGTCTAAAGCCTTTTTTGCTTATAGGATACACTTCTACCACTAATCAAACTACTGGAGATCTCAGTAGTTAAAGCAGTGACTATTTTTAGAAAAATAGTCACCTCTCTGGAAATTAATGCTTGTATGCTGCTAATTGGTGTTGAAGTTGCTATTTTTATATGCATAGTTTGATAGGTTCTTTTTGCTAGCTTTT